CAAGCCTATTGAGGTCCCTCTGGATGGCATTCCTTCCATCTGGCATGTCGACTGCACCACACAGCTCGATGTTGTCAGCAAACTTGCTGAGGGTGCACTCAGTCCCACTGTCCATATCCCCCACAAAGATGTTAAACAGCACCAGTCCTGATACTGAGCCCTGAGGAATGCCTCTGGTCACCCGTCTCCAGTTGGACACTGAGCCTTTGATCGCAGCTATTTGAGTGCGACCATCGAGCCAATTCCTTATCCACTGAGTGGTCCATCTATCGAATTCATGTCTCTCCAATTTAGAGAGGACAGTGCGGGACAGTATCAAATGCTTGAAGTCCAAGTAGATGGCATCAGTTGCTTATACATGACCTGCGCTGATTGGTTACTTACCGTGATATTTATTGCTTGCCTTTTGATCTTTCAGGAAAAAGTCAGTCCTCAGTTACACTAGTGCATTGCAGTCCTTTGCACATCCCAGCAAAAATGCTGGAAGCATTCTACTTAAAGGTCATGCGGTCAGCGTGTTGTGCACCAAAAGGGAGAATGAAATGCCTGCAACCAACTCCCTGAGTCTCAGGCTGCTTCCTTTCTTATTTTGGTCTAGTGGGAGAACCCATCAACAGCGAAGCTTGGCAGTGGTTCTACCATGTGGTGGGAGAAGGACGCTGCACGCTCGTGGACACATGGTGGCAAACAGGTAAAAGCATCCTTGGGGAACGTGGAGGACCCTGACCATTGACAGGTTGCTGGTGGATAGAGAAGGATTAATATATTTCAGTTTGATCCAATGAGTCTGTCAAAAAAACCCCTCGTGGCATTTTGATCAGCTTTTGAAAGTCACTGGGGAGTTTCAGCACATAATAGTAATGTAACAACATATAAAAGCAATAGCAATGTTGTTTTTTTTTTTCTTTTCCCCTCTAAACATTCTTTGATATTTTGAATGCTGGAAAATCTCAATTGGTTCTATAAACAGGAGGCAGAGACTGAATTTCTGGGCAAAGCTGGGAGTGGACAGCTTGAATTGGAAACCTCACTTTCAATTATTTATCCAGCTGTCCTGACCTTGATATAGTCTTATCTCAAAAAGGCATTTATAGCACCATATAGCCACAATCTGTACTTCGGTGTACTTTGTTTCCCTTCCTGTGAGGGGGCAGAGGAGGATGGAGAAGGAAGCTGTGTAGTCAAAGGGACCTGCTGTAACTGCTCTGACGGGTTGGAAAGGGGTGAGTGAAGGCTTGCTGGCTGTGCGTCAGGTGGATAGGGGACAGTGGCTGCCTGGGAGCAGTGTCTCCCAGGAATGAAGTATTCTGCTGTAGTTGCTTTGGCCCTGGCCCTTTGATGCCTCAAAAAGGAATGCACTTCTGTTCTAGCAACATGCTTGGCCCAGCTGTGTGCATCAGTTAAGGCTGGTTTTCCGTTTACAACCTGCTGGACAGAGTGGCTCTCATAGATCGCAGTCTAGTTGGAGCAGAGCTGGTCCTTGTCTCCTGCCCTCCTTGGCCAGCAGCGGAGAGAGGCCACAGGGCTGCGTTCCAGCTGGGGCTGTGCTGCCCTGCGCTTGAAGGAGTCCTGCAGCTCCTTGCCGGCTCCTTCCCCAGCACCCGGTTCTCTCGTCTGTGCACCAACATTGAAGAATTGCTAAAGGGGTCTTACAATATGTCCTTTTCAAGTTGTCAGCCACGGTTTGCCACGGAGCCATGGATTTAAAGGATGCAGTGCGGCTGCTGGCATTCTGCCTCTGCTGAAAAAAAGCCATCCCTACTCTTAAATTTCTAGCTGCCATTGGGCAGAATATTCATTCCCTTTCCAGTCAAGCTGCTCCTGATTTCATTGTTACTCCTGCCAGCAGGCTCTCTCTTCAGGATCCCTGTGGCCCATCTCAATGGGATGAGTTAGCTTCTGGCACACAACCAAGTTCCATTTAATCCAGACCAGACTTGCAGACTCTTTTTATTTTCAGATTTGAAATAAAACAACCTCAGAATTCAGAGCAGCAATGTTAACTACTATCTACTTCAACTACTGATCTCTTAAACCATCTGGGTTCTCCCATGCTGAGCAGAAGGAAAGCTGACTGGCTGGATGCTATATGCTTTCCTCCTCACTGCTCTGAAATAAAACACCGTGGAGAAGCAGTTGATTATTGTAGAGTGACGAAGTTGAGAAGAATCTTTTTTTGCCCTAACATTTTTTTGTTTGTCTTCAGTTAACTGGTGCATGTAGCGTGCATACAGCATCTTCTATTTCCTCTGAAATAATAGGGTTAGATCTTGTATTAAACTGTATTTCTCCTGGGTTTTTGGAGCAACAACTGTCAGATGAGAGGTCTGTAAGTGCAGAGAGCTTGATCTTACCTTGAACCAGGCATAGTTTTCCAGGTAAACAGTTACTCCTGGAAGCATAATATAATGATAAATATTCATGACATTAATTTTGTTAGAAAGTAGAATCAGTCTTTCTCCACAGTTGATACTTCCGATAAAAGGGAAGCCAAATTAATCTTGGAAACATTATATATGCCATTTGAATGTGAAGGAAGTGTGGAAAGAGATCATAGAAACAGTTTGATGGATGCTGGTTGTGGTCCTGCAGTGTCACCTCTCATATACAATTTCAATATAGCTTGTTAATTGTGCTGTTCTATGCAGTGTCCTCTACAGTGTGTTGCTCTCTGAAGCAGCAACGTGTTGCCAGCTAATAAAGCCTGGTAGGCGTAAAGATCAGCAAATGGTGATTTAAGAATCCACTTGAAAGTCTTCGGATGAGGAAATGAGTGAGAGCGCAATTACAAGAAGCAATTGAGGTAGTGTGGTATGTGCAGATGAGAGAGATGAAAAATTCCTGTGGCTCTTACTGTTAAAATAGAAGTAGTGCTGTGCTGTGATTGACAGTAATAGAATCCGAGCTGAGTTTGAGTTTCAGGTGTAGTTCTTCACAGTGCAGAAGAGACACTAGGTATTTTTACTTTTGTCATTGGTTTTATAAAAAAACCTACAGCTGTTGTATGCAGCTGTGAGCAAAAGCTGGTTTTGAAAGACATATCTGAATAGACCCTGGGAGCTTTTGTTTTTGGCATCATCTTACAGTGATTTAGACTGGGCTGGTGCTTCTGAGATGGATTCCCCCCGAAGCAGTCACTCCAATCTATCTGTGGCGGTGAAGACAACGGAGGCAGAGAGTAGATGCTCCACTCTTGCTGCCAAAGGTGATTTACCCATGGCAGAGGGTTTTGATGCGTCACCCTCCCTGCTCAAACTCTGCTGTCCTTGCTTAAAATCTCATGGATTTGCACTATGGTGACAGCATTGGCATAGGTAACGTGGAAGCACGGCTTTTCTTCTGCCAGCTCTGCCTCTAAAGGGATGGAATTCATATGGGCAGGGTAGAGCCTAGAAGCCTTGCTAGCTGTTACCTGTCAGTGACTAAAACTGGTACTTTTAAACCAGTTTAAAATAGGTCTTTACCATGCAAATACATTTCAAAGTACCCTTGCCACCATGCAGCTCCCTCTGGAACGTGTCCTTACTGCCTTATATGCAGCTGGCTGCAGGATGTGTAGGATGTGGTAAAACCCATGCTGAAACATAGCTTGCAGTACTGTATTCAGAATGAGTACTGGCTTAGGAAAAGCAACCATCAGTTTAATCAGATTCCCTGCTCTGACACAGATTTTGTCAGACAACAGCAGGCATCTGGGGTGCTTTTTTCTTTTTCTGAAAAAATTCAGGATGACCCTTTCAAAATAAACAGAAACATGTGAAGTGGATGCATGCCCATCAATGAAATGTAAAATAATTTTATGTGTAAGCCAAATGTGAAACTATTTCCTGCAGGTCTGAATCTTGGAGTTCCTCAAAGAGATTCTTCCTCATAGCTACATCAGGGCAGCTGCATGCAAATTCAGGGTCAAATTCAGCCTTTCCAACTCGTGCTTTCAGTTTTCACAACGTCAGCAAAGCTGGTAGAGGAATACATTCTCCACATGGCAGAACATACCTTTATTTATAGACCTGCATTTTTAAAAGCCTAATGCTCCTTTGTTTTTGTTTCTCTCTTGTGTTTCTGAATTAGTTTTAGAATAGAAAAGATCTGATTAAGGTTGGAATCTGATTTAATGTTCATGGAATGAAAAAGGATGATTAAAAGGTTCAATATTGAATAGAAGATAAGCTTAACCTGCCTGTAAGGGGTGGGTTAATCTCATACTCTGTAATAATAGTAATTCAGACTCCTTAAGTGCTTTTCATGATAATCTTAGCTGTAAAAACAGCACCAGGAGATAAATCCCCTGACATGCTTATACTTTCCCTGTAAAATCACTTCTGGGCTAGGAAATGGGGCTGGTGACTACTGCCCCTGGCACCAGGCAGCCCTGTTAAGTGTGCGAAGGACCTGCAAGGGTGCAAGTATGTGTTAGAGATGCCTGTGTTCATTACTGGGTGGTAGCTGGCGGAATGGGTTTATCTGTGAGCTGACTTAAGGCCAGATGTAGGGAACAGAGCACGTGGGTAGAATTCAGTGGGGTCTTCACTGCACCTGACTGAGTTGCCACGGTGGGAAGGCTGTTGAACGCACGCGTCGTGGCTGCTGCTGCAGGGTCCGTAAGCCATCTAGTGCAAAGCCAGCTGCTGTAGAGCCATGTACAGCTCTTCAAAGGCTCAGAGGAGAGCAAAGCCAGATGTCAGTGATGCTGATGCCCTGGGATATTGCGAGCTGCTCCTCCCCTGAGGCTGCTGCTTGGCCACAATCTGTGGTTTGTCACTAGCATATGCAGAGGGCAGTGATTTCTGCAGCCAGTACTGAATGAGGCACCAAGCAAACAGGGAGCTCTTGATCTGAGCTCACCAAGGGGGGACCTGCCTGCAGTTCTCTGCTCTCTACCTGCTGCAGTGTCCCCTGTAGACAGAACAGGCCTTGGTGGTGTCATCCTGGCTTGTCAGATGTTTTTCTATGTTTAGGCCTTTCTTGTATTCACAAAGAACTCTTGGTTTTTCAGGTCCGTGCCACTTTCAGATGACTGTGCTACTTGGCTTTTTCTTGCAAGGTGGCTTTGCTGTTCTGTTCTTTAACTAAGAAGAGCTGTCATTTGCTTTCCTCCAGCATTGGATGGACCTCAAATATTTTGTTTTTCATTATTCTTCCAGAAACTGGTGGCATCTGCATTGCCCCACGGCCTTCAGAGGAAAAAGCTGAGATTGTTCCGGCTATGGCTATGAGACCTTTCTTTGGAATTGTGCCCGTGCTGATGGATGAGAATGTGAGTTGAGGCTGTGCTGGGTACCCAAAAGAGAAGCTGGTGTGTGTTTCTGCCTTAATCACCTTTCTGATGGCAGAGGAACAGGATCCGGATGGATGTTTGTTCCTCCATTAAAATGTTAGAATAGATGAGCAGTTTGTATATTGAGCATATCTCAAATGTCCATACAGATTGCCAACTGGGCATTGCAAGCTGTCTGCAAATCTCTAGAGGAGTGTTTGCATTTTCAGCACTACTTTTATGGTCTTGCACTGCTTCTGATTAAGAGCTGCTGCCTCCATTTGTGAGAGAAGTCAGAAGTCACACAGCTCCTGGGAACCAGCGAGCTGAGCAGTTGGAGTAGTGCATGTAAAATCCAGTGACGTGGCAAGACTGCAGCAGCTGATGGGACTGGTGGAGTTTTCCAAGGGAGATGCAAGGCGTGAGGCCCTGCAACTGTGCATGTCTGAGAAGACTTGTGCCGATCTGTGAAGCTGTGCGGAGCGGTCTCCATCTGTGCTCCAGTGCTCTGTTAAACAGTAAAGCATGTAGTCTCCTCCATGTACAGTTTAATAAGGGAATGTGGCAGTTAACAAAAGTGAAAGTGGAAGTCAAGGGTCCAGGAGTTTCCCTGCTAGCCTCATCCCAGGCATCCTCTGGCTGCTTGGCATATCTTTGCTGTCATCTTTGCTGGCACTGCCCTCCAGAGAGTCACAGGACTCACTTTCCTTTTAGTCTTTGCTGTGCTGCTGGCCTGAAGGGGTGAGGAAGGCGTGATACAGACAGTGCGTAGTAGCTCCATGAGCGGATTAATTTTCTCCAGCTGTGGCCCTCCACTGGCAGTCTGCAGTGAGCAACAGGGTGACTCTTGCCAGATCAATGACACAGAAGCCTTTACTATTCCTATTTTCTTCACCTGATCATCCTTCCTGTGCTTGAACCTGCAGGGGAAGGTTATAGAGGGCAATGATGTGACCGGTGCACTCTGCCTTGCCCAGCCATGGCCTGGCATGGCAAGAACAATCTATGGAGATCACCAGCGATTTGTTGATGCCTATTTCAAAGCTTACCCAGGTAAGGAAAGTGCCAAGGGAAGGCAGTTTGTAACTGCAGTAGAAGCACACTGAATATTTTCAGCAGCACTTTGTGATATTTCTGTACCAGCCAGACTTCAGTTGCTTGCAGTTGTTTGTCATGTGTTGCAAGCATGCACTAATACTCTTAGTGTTGACCTTGCTAGCTGTCAAAAGGGAATGTATTTTTTAGAAAATTTTAATGCCTAAATTTTAAAGTCCAAATACCTTTTCTTTGGCGACATTGGTGCCTCAGATGGAAATAGGCATATTGGATGGGAAAGTACCTCCTGCATCACTGAATCTCACCCCTGCTGTCACAGGCTGTGTTACATCCTTCCTTTTTAAAACATGGTCAAATTGTATCTGGCAAGTAATTAGAAGTGGCAGGGAAACATTTTTTTGTAGGAGACTGGACAAGACCACTGTCTTCAGTCAGGGGAGCAACTGAAAGGGATTTGAAAGCTACAAGGTAGATAAGAATTAGAGAGGCAATCCTGCAAATTGTACAAAATGGGTTGGAAATTAAGACTGGGAAACTGATAGAAGAACTTGAATAACCCCATAGTCCCTTATTACTTACTACATGTTCGCATCTGAAATCTTGTTGATATTTAGTTGATAGTTGTTTTAATTGATCTGGAGGGGCAGGAGGCATGACTGAAAGTCCAGGAATTGGCCAATAATCAGTCGTGGCAAAAACCACCTTCAGATTTCACCACACTAGCTGCCTGCTGCTGCTCAGAAGTGCCACAGGAACAATTCAGATGTGGACGTGGCTTTGATGAAGAGCCAACACCATGCTTATCGTGGGGCTTTTTTTTTTTCCTCAGCTAATCTGATATCAGTGTTTCTGCCATGCTCATATGCTGGGGAGGGACTGTTATCTGGCATCTGAGTCTTTGTTAGCCAGGAGGGAAAATAGCTTTTCATCTGTCCCAATGTAAGTGATTAAAAAAATTGGCAGTGTTCCCATGTACAAAACGTAATAGAACTGCTCCCTTTCAGCTGAACAGTTGTAGTTTTCCATGAGGGCTGAGGTGTAGCTAGCAGCAGACCTGAGTTTGACCAACAGCCTATGGCATGATGACAAATGGCATTTGAAGTGGTTTTTATCTTAGTGCTGTATGCACCAGGCCTGAGGACACGCTTGCTGTGCAGCTGTATGCGTGTAAAGCCCAGGGAGATCAGCGAGCCCCCCTTGGTTTTGTAAATCCAACAAAGCATCACTGTGTTGTGTTGCTGGACTTGATTTTACTACAGAGACATCAGCTGCTGGTTGCTGCTGCTTACCTACAGTGATTTTTGCCCATCTTGGCAGAGATGTGAGCTCCACGATCTTGGTGGTTGCTCAGGTGCTTACTAGGAGCCAGCACAGCCCTGGCAGAGCAGACGAAGGTTGGGGATGGCAGAGGCGAGTGGGAAACAGCGTGTGGCAGGTCACGCAGCTGTAAGCTTAGGAGGCCCTGCGAGTTCCCTGATCCACCCTACCCTACTCGCCATCCTAGAGCAGAGTCTGTTCTGCATCAGAGCCCAAGGCTAGCACACTTCCTGCTGCTGACCAGCCACATGTCTTTGCTGTAGGTTACTACTTCACAGGGGATGGTGCTTACAGGACCAAGAAAGGCTATTACCAGATAACGGGGCGCATGGATGATGTCATTAACATCAGCGGACACAGGCTCGGGACGGCAGAGATAGAAGATGCAATGGTAAGTTCCAAGAAGGTAGAGGTCCCTTGACAGGGCGCATCTGTGGGGCAGGGTGGCCCTTTTGAAAAACCTTTATGAATTTAAACAAGCGCAGGGTCTCTTGCCTTCAGACCCCTGCCCCTGCATAGGCATAGCTTGATGAATAACAAATAGCAAATGTGCAAAAGGAAATGGCTCCCTTGTTAAGGAGACGACGAATGGGCAAGGGAGAGAGGAGTCATGACGTGGGCAGTCCCTGCAGTTGAACTGTCAGAGCTGTGTTTCCTCTCAGTGATGTTGTACTGAGGCAGTTGTAATTTCGGATGCTGGTAGAGTCTCCATAAGGAATTGTCTCTCCTGTTTGTTCCTTCTCCTCTGCTAACAGCTAACCTGTCCTTCCCAAATCTGGGGTTCTTACTCATCCGAACTAGCTGAGTATGCTTGAGAATTCAGCAGTGTTAAATATGAAGCAACTTTGTTTCATGTAAACTGCAAAGCTACCCTGTCATTGTGAGAGAAAATAATATTAGCTCAGGGAATTGAAAACAAAAAGTCCTCAAGCATTTATCCTCAAAGCTTGACCTGAATATTTATTTCTATGTTATGTGCCTTGCCTGCAAATGGCACTTAAATGTAACATTTGATAAACCTGAGCTGTGTTCACATGGCACACAGGATCCTACTTTCTCCTCTGTGAGTAATTTTTTTGTCTGTGTGGCCTTCTGATCCTAGAGGTAGGATCCAGTTCCTCTCCCACTGTATGTATGTGTAGGCATGTGTATATGCAAATATATTTATATGCTTAGATTGCTCTGTGATGTTTTCTTCAATATTTTAATCTAATTTAAGATAGCATAATCCAGTCTTTGGTGTGGTATTCAGATATGTGATTTCTTCCAGTCTGTACACCCAAATTGTCATCTTACTGCAGCAGAATGTTACATTAAACTCTGAAGTGTGACAGAAGAAATCATTGTTGTGTAGCATAATAATAAAAATATGCGTTCAGCAAAACAATCCTTCCTCCCTTCTGGGAAGATGAAGAAGCCTGATTCTTTCTGCCTTCTAGTGTGCTTTGGGCACTTATAAAATGGGGAGTGTGATGTTGGCAGCTTCACTTTTGCTCTGCTGATAACAGTTCCCTGTGGTACAAAGCATGCTTGTGATTTGGCTGTGGCCAGTCACCACTTGGGACCGTAGCCGTGGACACCCAAGAGCACAGACAAAGAAAGAGAAAGCAGATTTCCAGCTGGTGCAAATTCAGCTTGGTGTGCTGTGGGCTTAGCAGTGTATGTGAGAGTACTTATTTGTGTGTTTAAAAGCAGGGCCAATCCAGTGAGTAAATGCTACTCGCAGAAATGTGGCCGTGGCCTTGGCCGTGGCCACCAGCTGACCATGCAGTAGGAAGGCGGCATCCAGCTTTCCTGTTGTGCTTTCA